ATACCTCTACCTATGAAATCTTTAAGCGCTTATAACTTTTGAACGACTTATCATGGGACTTTGATGGTTTCAAATGAAATAAATATTATAATATTTATACATACTTATGCATATGCATTTTGGACTTTGATGTTTTCAAATAAAATAAATATTATAATATTTATACATACTTATGCATATGCATTTTGGACTTTGATGTTTTCAAATAAAATAAATATTATAATATTTATACATACATATGCATATGCATTTTGGACTTTGATGTTTTCAAATAAAATAAATATTATAATATTTATACATACATATGCATATGCATTTTGGACTTCGCACAATTTTTGATTTCTTTCAAGTATCAAGAGCCCACGCGCACTCTAAATATAATGGCTGTGAGAGCGTTTCTGCGTTTTATACTCGCTCGCTTGTGTGTTTTTACCTTCCCGTAGGGAAAGTTATAGTAATCACAAGAAAATTAAAAAATAAAATTTTTATATATCTTTACGTTTCAAAGGTTTCTGAATATTTTGGCATACCTTGTGTGTGTGTATGCGAATACAAATTTTCGTCGACGATTTCGGGAACGCCGATCAACCAATTTAAATAATTCAAAAAACATTCGATTTATATTGATCAGGAAACGTGCTGATTAGTTTTTGGCGAAGGCAGGTCTAGCCGTTCCGAAGATACGGGGCAAAAAGTGCAGAAAACGATAACTCAGTTTTTAAGAGAACGGAGCGTCCGATTTTAATAATTCAAAAAACATTTCACTTGTATTGACAAGGTGAAGAACCGATCTAATTTTCATAAAGGCAAATCTAGCAGTTTCGGAGATCTGATAAAAAAAGTAAAAAAATGCCATTTGGCGGTCAAAAATGATCATTAGACATATGCACATCAAGTTATCAGATGTTTTATTGAGATTATAACAATAAGTATAAATTTTATTTGCATTCCTATGGGTTCCGTACCAATGCGCTTTGACATTTTGTTTCCATGCAGTTAAAGCAGTACGATTGCTTTGAAAAAAAGTTCAGAATCTTCAAAATATGTCAAAAAAAGAAAAAAAAATTGTTTCAAAAAAAGTAATTATTTGTCAAATTCCTAGTTTCTCAAAAATGTAATTTTTTCGAAGTAAATTTTTTTCAAAAATGTTAATCGTTTTAAAAAAAAAAATTTGGTACGGGAAGTTCCAGCAATTTGCCTTAAGGCATGATGCTCTAATTGCCTTAATACAGAATTCCACTTCCAGCTAGTTTTTTGTTATTACAGAACATTCAAGCAAAAATTATTTTTGTATATATAATTCGAAAACCGATTAAAACCGGTTTTCCGAAAAAATACTATACAAAAACCGGTTTTCTGAACGGTCGGTCAAAAGAAACCCTAATCGGTATGTTACTGTGTGTGATAAAATACATTATTAAAACTTCTGCACTAGTGATAAATTTTTAATTAATGCAAAAATGCTCATAAAAAGCTATTTTTATACTTCATATGTTATACTGCCACTTGCACCTGGCTAAACGAGGCGGATATCGATCCTGGAGGGGGTGATTGTAATCCCGTAGCTCTAACCACTGAAGGAAAAACCGTTGTTTTAAATTTGCTCCTGAAAAGATTGTGTCTTTCAAACCACACACATAGAATAAGAAAACATACAATACAAAACAAAGCTGATCAATTTATCATCGATCGGTCAGTGTCAGTGGCAAAATCTCCTACCCCTTTCTGATGCACCATCAATACCGATGAATATCGCATGTGTCGCCGTTACACATATTATATCATTATGACATAGAATAACGATAGTGTCATCGATTGACAGGCTGTCATGTCATATCATTATTGTCATTGTATCGTCTGAGTTATAGATAGATAAGCGAGGCTCACAGTCATAAATTATGGGCGAACTTTGGGTCTGTTTTCTATCAGGTTCATTGCAAATTCTAGTAACAAAATATACTATATAATCAGCGCTATTTCCAACTATCATATTTTGAATGATATTCAATTTAAGAGTTCAAAATCAGTCCAAAACTTTGTATGTAAGTCCTTTTAAATTTTTATGAAATGCCTCTTAACTCTTGACAATCGGTGCAATAGTGTTTTGAAAATATCGAAGAACAGTCATAATTAAGCTCACGTCATAAAAAGTATTGCCAAGTATTCCAATGTTTGATGAGTTTTTAAAATTAAACTGTCAGTCGTACGATTTCACCATTTTTGTATGTTTTTTAAAGCCAATATTTATTTCCTAAAAAAGTTGAAAAAAAAACGTCAAAATTTTTTAATAATTATTTATGTAAAAACTGTTCCCAAAATTATTTATGTAAAAACTGCTATATTTTCCAACAATTTTTTAATTTTTATAACCTGTCGTAATTTTAAGCTAAAACGTTGACATAAAATTTTGCACTCATCTGCTAATTAAAAGTAGCTTAGATTACGAATTGTGAAGTTTGATGAATTGTCAAAAGTAAACCGTTAGTCGTAGACTCTCAATATTTTGTTTTTTAAGAACATAATTTCTTTCATAAAAAAAGTTTAAAAAACCGCCAGAAAAATTTTAATAATTAGTATTGTAGAAACAGCTTGGCATATCTTTACCAAAAAACTAATTAGCACGATTTGCGACTGATATCTTTTTCTAGCAGTTTTTGAATTTAAATAACATGTTCAGGATTTTTAGCTAAAACGTGGATATACAATTTTGCTAATTAAAATTACGAATATTTTTTCAATCAACTCAAAAAAAGGCAATACAACTAAGTAAGCACTATTCTGGTTTTAACTTTACATATTGTGTTTCATATTAACTAAATATTTTTGTATCATGTACATGGATTGCCATAGCATCTTGAGAAATAGATATAAAAATTACTGCTAATTTTTAAAAAAAAAACGACTCGACCAGTTGCCACAAAAAACTAATGAATGCTAATATTTACGAGTTATATAAAATGGCTTTTAAATTTTTGAAATCGGTTCAGGCGTTTTTGAGAAATTTTCGACTAAAGTCAAAAGTAGGATACATACAAGTTTATCCAAATTTGGTATCATTCGATTCAAAATTATTCGAGACATCGAGGACACATAAAATTATTACTTTATAAGAGTTTCTGGATGAGTAATAAAATTTTAACCAAATATTTATAAACATAATAATTAAAAGTGGATAATTAATTTATAGATGTTATAGAATAATTAATTAATAAAAATCGGCTCATATACAAACACACTCATACTTTAACCAAATTTCGTCTCATTCGATTCAGAATGACTAGAAAAGTCGAGAAATTAATAACATTAGCAAATTAAATTTTCTGGCAAAAACACGAACTTTTTCGTCGACAAGTTATTAATATCTTATCAATTTATAACCATAATAAACAAAAATAGTGCAAGTAATAACACTAATAAAAATATTTATGAAAGTAATAATTAAAAATGAATAATTAATTTATAGAAGTTAGAGAAGTCAGATGTTTGGTTAATACGTAAAATAAAACCTCGATATATTTTTATATAATAATAATGTCTAAAAAACATTCTAAAGACGAAAATATCTAAAGACAAAAAAAATGATAAAATTAATAATTATAAAGATATAGTTACAAGTATTAAGAACTTTTGTATGAACACTGGCAACTTTGAGCATCGTTGTATGTATTATTTTGCATCTACCTTCTTCATATTTCTCATTGAGATATCTTTCAATTGATTGTAAATACCAATCCTTTTTATCATATATTTGTGCCAAATATAGTAATTTTAATATACATCAAATAAAAATTTTATTATAATTTAGTATTCTTATTTCATTTAATTTTAATTTTATATTTGTACAGATTAAATTCATTTTTATTTAATTTGAAAATTTAATACATATTATCAGCAATGCTAGGGAGTTAAACCAACATACATACTACTGTATTCATGATTTAGTACGAAATCGAATTGCCAGACGATGAATCATCGTATTCGCTCGTGGCGGCGCGCTTACCGAAAACATCCCTTTTTGCACAATTGAAGACAACACACTCAGGTGAACTGTCAAATAGTTGTTAACTGATAGAATCGACATCTGCATATGAACTAATCACAATGCAATTGTCCAACATATCTAATCCAACATTAAAAAAATTGTTCTGTCTTCGTTTTTACATTATCAAATCGACATTGGTGCGGTGAAGGTCTTCTCGCTGCAGCCGTCGAGGAATTAACATCACATCGCCGAAGTGCTGTCGGTCGGCGATATATATTTTTTTTAATCCGTTTACATCCGCGTATTTATTTGTTTAATCGTTAACCAAGTATTAAGGACTTATATTAATCGACTTCGATTAATTGTTTTGTGTATTATTTTTAACATATTTTTATCATCGTGAATATGCCAAACCGCGTGGTGCAGGTAAGTCTCATGAGCAATAATATATATTTATTGATAATCAAATATTAATTCTATTAGTTTGAATGATGGTTACTGATGTATTTATTATAATCCAGTAATATTTATTTTTTGGTATTTTTTCACATACGGGTATATGAATGGTTCTCGATCGCATTGAATTTTGAGTTCTTCTAGTTTGTGGGAGTTTGGCAGGTCGTGCCAGGATAATAAAAATAGCAAGTAAGCCGTGAAAAATAAAAAAATAAATGTGGTTTGTTTTGACAGAAATAGATTGGCAGGCTTGCTTTCTTATTGTATTTAAAAAATTCAATGTAAATAGGAAAATTATAATTCAAATATAAATATTATTGTAATATTACAAATAATACCATTACAAAAATTTATCATAATACGTTCATTACAATTTATTTCAAAATGTTTTCCTTCGAGGAATTAACATCTCAGCGTCGAAGTGCTGTCGGTCCGCGTTATATTTTTTCTTAATCCGTTTACATCAGCGTATTTATTTATTTAATCGTTCAAGTATTAAGTACTTACATTAATCGACATTGTTTAATTGTTTTGTGTATTATTTTTAACAATTTTTTATCATCGTGAATATGCCAAACCGCGTGGTGCACGTAAGTCTCATGAGCAATAATATATATTTAATGATAATCAAATATTAATTCTATTAGTTTGAATGATGGTTATTGATGTATTTATTATAATCCAGTAATATTTATTTAAATTTGGTATTTTTTCACATACGGGTATATGAATGGTTCTCAATCGCATTTAATTTTGAGTTCTGTTATTTTGTAGGATATTGGTAGGTCGCCCCAGGATAATAAAAATAGCAAGTAAGCCATGAAAAATAAAAAATAAATGAGGAGTGTAGTTCTCATGAGCAATAATATATATTTAATGATAATCAAATATTAATTCTATTAATTTGAATGATGGTTATTGATGTATATATTATAATCCTGTAATATTCTTTTAAATTTGGTATTTTTTCACATACGGGTACATGAATGGTTCTCAATCGCATTGAATTTTGAATTCTGTTATTTTGTGGGAGTTTGGCAGGTCGTTCCAGGAAAATAACTAGTGGGGTGTGTGGCATCGAGGAATACTGAATGTTTTCAAATAGATTATTATAAATATTGTAACATTGTCTAATATTTATAAGAATTATATAAACAGAATTGCAAAGCTGAAATTATTTGTTTAAAGTATATTAAAACTATAGTCAGAATTAAAAATAAAATCTGAATTAATTTCGATATACAAAAAATTAAAAAAAAAAAAAATAAACAAATTTTTTTTCCAAAATCAATTATTTTGTTAAGACAAGCAGAAAGTTCTTTGAATCATTTAAATCGGACGCTTAGTTCTCTCAAAAAATGCAATTTTTTACATATTTAACTCCGTATCTTCGAAATGGCTGGGCCTGCTTTTGCAAAAAACTAAAACACTTTTCCCAATCATTACTAATTGAATGTTGTTAGGTCATTCAAATCGGATGCTCCGTTCTCTCAAAAACTCGATTTGTATTTTCTGCACTCTTTGCTCTTTATCTCCGTAACTGCTGGACCAGCCTTTGCCAAAAACTAATCAGCTCATCTTCCTATCAACAGGAACCGAATATTTATTGAACCATTCTAATCGGTTGATCCGTGCGCCCGAAAACGTGGCTGGAAATTTGTATCCATACATACACACACACATCAATTTTTTCTGAGGTATGCCAAAATGTTCAGAAACCTTCAAAACGTCGAGAAATGTAAAAAATTTTAATTTCGATTTTCGACCCATTACAATAACTTACCCTACAGGAATATAATTATATTTCAAATACATATATTATTGTAATTAATGCAATTACACAAACTTGTTATTATAATCCGTTCATTATAATTTATTTTTAACTATTTTAATTTACTTCACAGCAGTACTTACGTTTTGCCCCAAATATATGTACGAGACATACAAATATATTTTCGATGTTTATTCAAATAGTTCCTTCAGGAAAAGTTTATCATTTTATGTTGATTGTAAAAATGCATCAAAACATATATTAAAACAATATTATGTTAAAGATTTTATAATTTTTGTTTCAGATTTGCGTTGTTTAATTTGTAAACATAATGCAGTGGTACTATCGAGTGCGTTTCAGTGTGTTCAACTCATTTCAAACTATGTTGATGTCAGTTTTTATACATATTCTCTAAAGTTGGTGATTAATTCGGACTTTTAGTGATATTTTGGTGTCTGTTTTTTTATGTAATTTTTTTTTTGTTTAGTGCAGTGCTTGTAAATTAGTAATTAATTCCGATTTTTAGCGCTATTTTGGTGGCCGACTTTTTACTTGTTTTCAAAAGTAAATTTATTTAGTGCAGTGTGAATTAGTATTTTTTACTTCAAAATAAATGTGTGTCGTGATTTTAGTGTAAATAAATTGTCGTCTATTCAGTGACCAGGATTTCCGACGGGGGCTCGCTTCTGAGAATCGAGAGGTAAATACAAATGATACTAACTTTAATCAATTTTGATTGATTCCTACTACAGTATTTTCGATTCCAAATGATTTTTATGATTTTCTGGTCTTATATTTCAAACACATTGTTTCTATTTTAGACAACAAATTGGGAATATGATGTCCCAAAAGGATCGGTGCTTCTTCGCTTACGGTGAGTAGTTTCAGATATTTTTTAGATTTAATAGTATGATCACATGCTAATATCGATTTCAAATGATGTTACTTCATATACATACTGCCTTAATGTTCAAAACGATTTGGATACTTTACCAATTATTTATAAAATACAACCAAACATGGAAATGAAAAAATCCTCTTATTTTCTACATGGGCCAATTCTGCCGCTCAACAGACCAATGCTATGTTATGAAGTACTTTCCATACTAAATACTTCCAATAGTCATGTGGTTGCTGTGTAGTCAGGCGTTTCTCTCAGGCGTTTATCTCAGGTTGTCAGATAGAAAATCTAACCTAGAAACCGCACAAATGTCAAAAAACGATCTTAGATATCAGGGTCTTTCTGACCCAGCTTTGCAACATAAGAGTGACGTTGCAGTTTATGTATAAAACGCCTAAATGCCTAAATGCACAGCAAATACATGGCATTTTAACAGTATTCAGTATGTTTCACTAGCATAATGAATGCAAGTTGGAGCATAACATGGCTTTGCCATAACGTTGGTCTGTTGTGATATATAACACATTAAGTGAATATCACGAAGATATTTAAATTGGGCTGCGGTATTTTTTATAAATGCAAAGCAGAAATATTAGATGTATTATACAGAGTGATTAATATATTACGTCTTTAAATTGTCATTTAATGTCTTATATACAATTCCTCATAAGAAGGATATCTCTCGTCGAGACGTGCAGAAAAATATATGAATCAATGATACACCTAACTACATTAATCATATTTTCTTCTTTCAATGGAAGCGATGTTATTGTTATTCAGTTCACGCGCCTGTTTTGTCCCCTTTATTCTTTTACTCGTCTACGAAATGATAGTTTGGTAAAAATTGTTACCCTCACAAAATTTATCATGTTGGCTGGGATAGAATTTGGATCGTAGTAGATGATCCAGTAACAAATATACTTAACTTATATTGAATCAGAAAATTTTAACTAACTGATGTATTGGTGTAAAATTCTAAAACAAAATATCAAGAGAAATACTTTGATGTTCAGTGTGTTTAAGTTTTAACTCGACAATTTATTTGATGCAGATTATTATAATTAATTGATAATGAGCATTTCGATAAACATTGGAATGAAATTATTAAAATTCAATTTTTTCAAGTATCTTTTAACTGTTTCAAGACATTATTATAATATAGTTCTAGCTACTTAATTAAATACATCATCCAAGTTCAACATGTGAACAAATTACAAAGTTCAATAACTTGTTTTAAAATTTGATATCTCTTCCTAAGATTTCGAATAATGTTTCACGTTTTTTAGGATTATCTACTTGCTAAAATTTGTAGGTTGTTTGACACTGGTTTCTGACGTTTGTTTATTAATGGTTAACATTTGAAGCAACTTTTTTCTTGATTGAGACGCAGGAGCTGAACATTTTGTCGGGTTTGAATAGTTTGGACCAATTTTGATCAAAAGTTTTATGCTGAATATACTACAAGCAATATAGATCTTGCACAATTTTGGAAATTCAGTTGATTATGAGATGCCCACCAGTATAGCGATTTTAGTTTAGCTTATAATTGTCCAATAACTTGTTTGTGCTATTTTAAAAAAATGTGAACTTGTTTGTCTCAACATTTACAACATGGCAAATAAGTAATGAATAAATTCCGAAATTTTTAGTGTTATAAAAACAACCGAAGTTACCCATTTTACTTGACACTCAAACTTAAACTGAACATCGGAATGGAATTAATGAAGTTTTATTCATATATTTCGTATACGGAACCTGCTAACAAAATTATCTTAACTTTTTTTCTTCACTATTGTATATATTTTGTTTTTGCCATTCAATTAATTCGATTAAAATAAAATTGTAAAGAGCCAAATGAAAGTATACAAATATTAGGTTGTCAAATATCTCCCTTCCGCTTTTTTGCTCTTTATTCAAAAGCAAAAATAGTATTCACACTACAAACATATTTAAACATAATTTTGATTAAATCAGTCCTTTTGAGATTTGTTAATTATACACCAAAATTTTATAAGGTAGTTTTGTATATTTTTAAATTAAAAAAATGATAGTTGTTTAAATGTTTTTTATGAAAAGCAAGTTGCTTCAAATAATTCTATATATTATATACTATTATAAAAAATTCTTGAAATCTTGTACAAAAATATCTTATTTATATTCATTAGATTTGATTAGATAGCGCATACAAATCCAAACCTCTATGCGGTAGAACTGAACTTGAATTAAAATTTTAAACTCATTGTTTATTTTTTTTATAAAATTTTTTTCAACTCATAAATATAATTCTGATTTTCTGGTTTGCACTTTATAATCGAAACCTCTTTAATTATACCGATGCATTAGTATTAACTATTAAATTAAAATTATAGACTCATCAATTGTTAATGTAAGAAATTTGTTTAAATTTTATTATTAAATTTAAATATATTTGTTATATTCATATTTTATTTTCTGGAAAAATGCATCTTGCCCGCATCCGTAGTCGTATGCGATCAGTCAAAGAGCGCCTGGGGATGTCTCACTTCACCCCCATCTAATTAATCTCAGCTCCAAATTCAAGGGCGCCAAACACTGATAACTGAAGCGAAACGTATAAATATATTTTTATGTGGAAAGAGGACAATACTGAACAGAAGTCATGATTTTACCAAAAACTACCCTTGAAACAAACAATGTCATATTTCAATATTAGTAAATTTTTGAATATTATTCAAAATAGTTGAACTAATGCTATTTACAATTGTACATTTTTCTTTACACAAGATCCATAGTAGAATTAATGAATTTAAATTCTTATTTTATTATTATCTTAAATGATAATTAACATTTGGAATTTTAACATGCGGAATACAAATATTAGTTTAATAGTGCAATAGTGAGGCAAGTCTAATAAATAATAATAAATATAGCATTGGATATAATTTAAATCATTAGAATTAATGGGAAGAGCTAATAAGAGTTTAAATATTATTTGCATTTTGTTATCTTTAATGATATTACACATTATATAAGGAATATATAAGGAAAAATGCATAATTTTCATAATAAAACTACTTCATAAGTATAATTAGTTAGACAAATTGAAGTGTAACGTTCGATATTACTTAAAATAGCATTATTACAATTTATCAATTTTACATTTTTATTTTTATAATTTGTGTAGTAGAACTAATAAGGATTTTAATAGTGTTTTTATTTTTATATTGAATTTATAAAAGAAACAGATTTATATTGAAGGGTAGTTTATGGGCATTTGGTAATTCAAATTTGAATATACCGTTAATTAATAATAAATATTGGGAAGAATGCAATTCATAATTTTACATATATATTTTACAAGATTTCTTGTAAAACTAGTAAGACTTCAGTTACTTTACTATTTCCTCAACGTAAGTAAAAATTAACATAGCACAAAAAGACCGATGCATTTAATTTTTTTTGGTAACTTTTCATTGATTTGGCTCCTTACAGCATTTAGTTACTTTTATTTTTGTTTGATTTTCAATTTCAACTTTTTATATCGTATTAAGCCATAAATAAATGAATAAATAAATTAAAATATATATATCGTATTCTACATTTCTACCAGGAATATCATAAAAATATGTATCGTATTCCAAATTATATCAGGTCATTATTTCTTATAATCATGGAAATCCTATTTTATGTTAATAGTATCTCGATTTCAAGTATATTCGCAATTTAAATTTTTAATTTGTAATTTTTACAATTAATTTTTGGATATAGTACCAGGACTCGATTCGAGCACTTTTAATTAAACTTACAATAAAAACAATCGTGACAATATTGCAGATATTTGTTGATTTTGGCTCGATTATTAAAATAATATATCCTAAATGCGATTTATTGTAAACTACATATAGCATGTAGTATAATTCTTATATACATGAAATATATATGCCAAAAATATCAAATGATAGTGTAATATAGAAAATTATTTTAAAGAGTGATAGTCATATCATACATGAATTTATAAAATAAATTCATAAAAATTAATTCAAATATTCGATTAATTTTTGATTGAATGAAACATTTTTCTAGATATAACAATTCGCAACGTATAAATGCCTTGATACATGAAATATCCTATAAGTCCAATGTTAACTTTAATTTTAAATCATTCTTTCCTTGATTAAAATATCAATTAACTGTAAGTATAATACTGCCTCCTATGTACATTAAATCTCTGTTAAAGAAATTGTTCGTCACAGTGCTTAAAGATCATAACTCGTAATTTTCGTCTCGGAGTCGTAAAATACTTCATTCAGCAAGATTAAATAAAAATAATTAGATTGTAAAACTGCGCTCGGAGGAAATGAACTTTGCGTTATAGTTTGCTCTGGTTATATATTTCAATGGCATTCATTAATTTTAGTTTCTCAATTATGATAAGTTATGATAATTGAAGAAATTAAAGATTTACTTTTGCCCCAAAAGAAAATGTAACGTTGAATTAAAATTACGCGAATAATAAAAGAAAGATGTATGAAATAGTTCAAGGTAAATAACATTTCGTAAAATTATAATGGGTTAATTACTTATAGAAAATAGACTGACATATATGTAAGGTGTATACATTTAAATTGATCTATTTTAAGCTGAAATAATTCTGAACAATATTTTTTTAACAATAGAAAATAATATTTCGAGCAGTATTAATACATATTATATGTCAAATATAGTTTTGGCATATGATTGCCTACTCGTGAATTACTAATACCCGGATTTTTTTCTAAAAATTTTGATTATACTTCAATTTTTGACTTTTCATTTTTATTGAAACTACTATAATTTGAACGTGATTACGTGTGTAAAAAATAGCTAAACATAAATGAATGAACTTTTTCTCCTTTCATATAATTTGGAATTGCTGCATTGTTGCTTTAATCGACCTGCCTTTACCAAAATCTAATCACCACTTCTTCCCATCATTACAAATCGAATGTTTTTTT